AAACTTCGTGTATCATTTTAGAGGCAAGTCACTTATGAAAACAAAAATAGTACTGGGATGATTGTCTGTAATAAATGATACAGCCAATAATTTTGCGTCAAATTTACAAAGTGAACAATGAGGAAGTTCCATTCAAATCTTTTTATCTTTTTTTTATATGAAAATGAAATCGCACCATAGCATAGCTAACAATAATACCATAACAAATTTAGACTGATTTGTATGTTTTTTTGGTGTTGACTTTTGAAAGTTTCACATTTTTAACCCCAAAGGTTTTTTAAAAAAAATGAAAATATAGCTAGTAGATAGTGGTAGAATGTGAAAATTTAATTTAATTTCCTCAAATTCATATCGATACAACATAAAAAATAATGGTTTATACAGTTTATAAACCGTATTTCGAAAATTAATAATAATTTGTACCCATAATCTCTCATTTATTAATGTTGATCATGAAATCGTACAATTAGTTTTTAGCCATAAATTGTCCCTGAAAAATCTAATAGAAGATTGTCAAGCAAATATCATTTTTTCAAAAATACAGAAAATACCACCATGTTGTCCTCGGCTTTAACATAATTTCATCTTCAATCTGATGTTTTTTCGTATTTTATTCAAATAATTGAATATATAAAAAATTACTTATGTTAAGGGGTTTGGTCTCAGGTGCAAGGATGTGAATGAACTGTATTAAAGAGCCTTCTTGTCCTATGATCAAACAACTACACAGTACCTCTTTAACTTTCAATGATTTTCCGGCTTCAGTCAGTCAGTGATTTGGATTCATCATTGTTTTTTTTTCAGGCTTACCAAGCGAATTTTGGCTCATAGGAATACTTCTAAGTGTTTGATAATAGTTTTGTATTATTGAGCTTACATCTGTAGGTGGACTGTGAACCTAATAATGTTAAGCGTAGAAGTAGCAGTGTCATAATGGTAGTACTTTGGTGATACATACGGTTTATGTTTGTCAGCATAAGGGGGGACGAGTGTGGTGTATGCTACATATGCTAACAGATATCAGCACTATGTAGCGCCGACAGAGTGTATTATGCTTACTAGAAGAAGATTGAGTTGAAGAGAAAAGGAAAGGGGATGTTGTGACTTCATAAAAGGCCGTCGCCAGTTTGTTATGACTTTATAAAAAAAATAGGACGTATGCTAATTCGTTATTGATTTTACGTCCGGCTTTTTTATCACGTGAATTATCCACCAATCGAAATACGACTTGTCTAACATTAATACTGTGACAAATCAACCACGTTCGACCAGTATGAGTAGTCTAGCGTCTTTATTGGTCCCTTATCCGTCTAACCCTTCCAATTGAGTCCAGAACACCAATTACAGCCTCTGCTATGCGAATCTATGCGAATCATTTATTTCAAGCATACTCGGTTTATATACTAGACAGACAGACCGCATCAAACCTTAAAATATAAAATAATATTTGTACAAGATGAAGCCGAATGTGACTGTGAACGTGGGAGACAGTAATCAATAAACTGAATGTAATTTAGGAACAGTAATTCGTATAATAATATTTTATAGGTGAAAATAAAGCTTATAATAAGATAAATATAGATATATACAATCTAATTATTCAATAGTTAAAGAATAAGAATATATATAGAATAACAGTTCATTAATAGGTCCTGGGAGTTACCCGCACTTATGTCTTCACTAGGATATAACAGGGGACAGAGCATTTGCAATAACAGTAGGATTGGAAGATCCATGAAGTACTTACAGGACAACTGAAACCAGATATGAAAATAATTTTTTTGTGTGTACGGTTTTCATGCTTTATGAATTCACTTTGTAATCTTGCATTGAAAAATAAGTTGGTTTTCCCAACTTGAGTTTGAGCTCACTACAGTACTAGATAATAAACTGAATAACATCCCTTTTCTTGACAGTTTGTTTGAACAAGGCTTAACAACCACACTAATGCTGATTTGAGATCAAGAATTTTGTTGCGTGAATCCTTTTAAATGAATCTTTTAGAAATATGAGAAACAATTAGTTATTTTATAATCTTGTCAGTTTTTTTTCTTCAGAAACAATTCATAATGGTAAACTGATTTAAAACTGTATCTTTATTTTATTTTAAAATTAATTCAAGATTGACATGTTTAGTTTATTTTTGCATGATCACTATGTAAAATCACATTAAATGTTCCCGTTAGTTTAATTGATATTTATGTCTTTCTATGAGAACATCTTTATTGTTCATTATCTTAGAGGAAATAAATAATGATTGACAGAATTTTGTCATAAATTTGTCTGGCTTTTTTATTATTATACTTTAATCTATTTAAAGTTTAGAAGTTTAATTTAATAACTGTCAATATACTTAGTGTAATTAATAAAAGAAAAGACAATAATATTTAAATTTATATATGAGTTATAATATTTTGTATAATTTATGAACAGTTATGTTTACGAGGTGACATGAAATGGGGAACCAGTTCCCACCTTATTTCATTTCAAATTAGAATTAGAATATTTCAATTGAATAATCAATACTAACATCAGGTATTTTTTTTGTGTGGATACATATCATTTCAATAGTTGTTGATATTTGACAGTGATAAGCATTATATCTTTCCAATAATTTATATTTCATATAAATAGTGGCCTAATGAATTAAGCAAATTTCTATATTCATGCATTTTAAACACAATGTAGAGTAAATAAATTATAATATGAAATTTTAATTTATTGAAATAAATTAATAATAGAAGAATAGATGCGGTATTCAGTATAAAATAATAAAATCCGGTAAAATAATATCTCCGCTAAGTAATAATTAGTTGACTCGGTAGAATGTATTCAATATTACTAATAAGTAATAGAATGTTTTTGATTGTGATCATGAACTGATTATTGTTAGCCTGGAACCATTGGACGGCCTTTTCGTCGTAGTATAAAACTCTTCAGCGGTGTGTACCTACAATCTCGCGCGTACTGTTAATGTCTTACTTCAATCAATCATGAATGATCCCTGTACTGATGAAACTAACGTCTAGAACAAAACAACTGTTTAATATCCCATGACTTTTAATTGAAAAGAGAAAGAAAAAGGATTATAACAGAAGAGCATGATTCATTTTATTTCGTTGGTTCTCGTCAGCTGCTTACAATATGAAAGAGTTTAGTTGGGGGTTATGTTGAAGGCATATTTGTATAGAATGGGTGTAAATAAATTTAATAGACTGAATGTTGTAAATATATACCTTATGTAAAAGAAAGTCCTGCAACACTGATTGTGATAACAGCTCAAAAGGCCAGAAACAAGTGATTACATAATAAGTGAACGCTGATAGAAATAAAATGAGTGAAGATCTGTTAATAAAATAAGATTATTAATCTGGAGGATAGTTGAAATAAAAACCCAATGATGTAATAAATGCAAGAAAAAGTTAAAAACAGATTTAAGATCCAACGAAGTAATGTTTGTCACCAAGGCAAGGACAGATTAATATCCATCTCCTTTTGAACACATAAATCAGGTTTTTGACGCCTGATTGCAACGACTTCAGCAAACTTCAGAATAATGGAGTTTGGCTGCTTACCTTGAAAGATTGCAAGGTACACCCTTTCTATACTAATAGGCCTTCAACATAACCTCCAACTATACTCTTTCATGTTGTAAACAGCTGACGAGAACCAACGAAATAAAATGAATTCATGCTATTCTGCTAGAAGCTCTTTTCTTGTTTTTCTCAAAATGATAAAAATAACTATGTGTATGGAATTTCTCAAGAGACTTTTATTTGATTTTCTTCCAATAAGCAACTGATTCGTTTTGTTTCCCAAACTTCTCTCACAGCCTAAACCCATAATTCTAAATGGAATTAAATTCAATATAGTCGTCAGGTTATGTAATAGTGCACAGATTTCGAATACATTAATGTTCAATCGTTATAATATGAGTCAATAACTGTTTCACTTTTTATATGGTTTATGATCTATAAATTTCACTATTCTACTAGTGTTTCTATGTATCTATTTCGCATAAAATTTACTGTTGATTTCAATTCATGGTAAAAATTATTTTCGAATAATAATTGGATTACATGAACATTTTGTACAACATAAACGATACTAGTAAATTTAACAACTTAGTATAATTAATATACTTGTAATACAATGTAGAACTCAACAAAAAAAGCTGGAAAGTACTAAACATGTATATGAAAAAATTGTAATTATACTTTATTTGTTACATCATACACTTACAGAACTTTATTACAAAGAATAAAATCATTTTCTTGCTTTATATTTCCCTCTTTTTCTAAATGAAGTAATAGGCGCCTAATTATTCTGTTACGGTTTTAATAAAATTAGCCTACTTAATTGTGTATAGTCGTAACAGTTAGCTGGTTAATCATGTTTTTTACTGAGATTTGTTTAGACCATAAATTGCATCTACTTTGATCAAAGCATATTATATTCTCTTTGAGATCACAAACTGATCTTATTTATACAACCATTGAAAATCTGGAAGCATTAGATAGCTGTTTTGTACTAGTATGGAACTACTATGCCACGGCCATCTAAGACCCCTTGACTATGAATGGAACGTGGAGCTTTCAGGCTTGCATGCGAACGCTAAACCACTAAATCATTGGGCTGGAGTCCAATGCTGCACAAGCTTAAGTTTAATCAACCCACGATATTCCATGACGATTTTTTATTGTCTTTGGTATGTAACTTCTTGACAACAAACATGATTGAATTCAACTAGTCACTGATTCTTACTAGAACATTATATTTTTTTGAAAAAAAGCTATATTAATCATAAATATTTATTCCATAAATTTTAAAGAAGGTTTTAATGTTAATGGTAAGTAATATCCATTCGTTTGTTATTCAAAGAAGGATAAAAAAGATTTAATTAATTATTGAAGTATTTATCAACTTAAAACTTTGTCATACGTCATTCAATTTATGATTTTATTTTAATTTTAATTTTACGATGAAAAATAAAATTTTAGAGGTCAATCACCTGCTGAAGCAGATTATAATTTATTGGATACTGTAAGAAAAATTGAACTCTATGGGATAAGAATAAATCCAGCTAAAGTAAGTTGATCTTTTCTTTAAATTATTTATGTTTTGTTTTGTTTTAATAGGTGTTTTTTTTAAATATATATTGTACATAGTAGATACATTTATTTGTACAAGACGTCAAAATAAACGAGGGAAGCAGAACTTTCAAGTTATATCAGAGATATTTTGTGTATATTATAGGAACAATCCTAAAATTAATTTGATTATAGTTAATTTTTGTCAAACCCTTTTATTAACTTATTTAACAGTGTTATTCGGATACTAACAATTCGTTTATTTTATATTATTATGATAACTATCATGTCTGTATAAACGTATATGCTTGATCACATGTAACATCCTATTCACATATCGCTCTAGCTAAAATATTAATAAATATCGCTCGATGAATCATTCTCTTTCTCATGTATAAATGTGGTCAAATCTTAGTAATAGCATTTGCCGTGCCTTGCTGCGTATTTTTTCGATTTGACCATAAATTCGCCTCTGTATTCGCTCACACACATAAATTATTAGCCTCTCTTCTCCGATTCGCTCGATTTGCTTGTAGCTTTGTTATCTGTGCTATCCGCTAATCAAATGTAGTCGCTTCTTCTTATTGCCTTTTGAAATCAAACGCCGTTGGGATTTATATAATGATTATCAAGGTGATTGTTCGATATTATATATACATATATATATTTGACTAATCAACAGAGCTGATATCACTTGCCCTCATATGAATAAGTTAATAATATCTTGAGGACACTTGTAAGCTACACTGTTAGTTCGCATTTGTGCGGTTACCTTACATCTCAATAATTTCTTGCATCAAACTTTTACAAATTGTTGTATGCAATCCTTATCTTATTCAATTCTATTTGTTTTTAAGTATAATAGATTATTAATATAATTGCCTTATTATTGAAGTCATTTTTCTGGAATTTCACCAACTTCAAATATTGATTGTAATCATTGAGGGGAACTCAACCAAATGATTTGATACCACCAACATTAGTCGAACTTGAAATCAGGGAATTTATGGGATGATACAAAATTACTCTGACTAAGTCTTTAATTTTCTTGTAATCTATTAAACAATGCCAATTTTCACGTTAAGCATATGTAATAGTAGGTGAAAAAACTCAATTCATTATTTTGAAGATGTACCTTAACTTATTTTTTGTAACATTTTTCTCTTGTCAACGGTTTTGTAATAAAATAAAACATACATTATATCTCTCAATAAAATTAACTTAATCATTGTGATTATTTATAAGTTTAATTTTATAACTAAAGAATTTATAGTATTTTAACAAAATTGTTAATAACTAGATTTTCTTTTATGATAGTTGATTGTTGATTATGATTTTTATCAGAAGCGGGTTTTGTGGACATTTCAGGAATTTTTAATATAGTTGAAATCATGAGTCAATTGAAGCTAAACCACCATGGAAAACCTGGAAGCTATGGACGGCCGTTTCGTCCTATTGTGGAATTCCTCAGCAGTGTACATCCACGATCCCACCTCGTTCAGTGATTTTTAACAAGTTTCTATTTCAAATTCTTCAAATTGCTGTATGTAACTTGTTTGTATTTTATAAATGACTGGCTATTATACCATTGATCATAGAAATATGAAAAACCTATACAATGTTATATGATTTACATAAATGATTATTCCAGAATAAAACTGATTAATTTCCATTAACTTGAAATATTAAGCTTCTTCCTTTGTGTTTTAATTTGTTTTATATTCAGCTAGAAAAAGGTTTATGAAATTAGGCAAAAGAATATTCTATGAAAAAATAATTTGTGAGAACTGGCTTAAATATATTAAGCAGTTCTGATCATTAAATTCCTTGAGGGTTTATTTATTTTTTTTAAAATGTTTTCGATATGTTCTTATTGTCTTGTTTGTTAAATAACACTTTGTTATACTACTTATGAAATACAATGAATATATCCTAAAAGTAAGGGATTAAACATAATAATGTATATATATATTAATGATTTTCATAACTTCTCTATCCTATTGAGGATTATTATAAGAGAGAAATAAAAAGAGATTATACTCAGTTGGAAAATTTATTCTTAGATGAATACTATTATCATTGCCATTATTTGATTAAATTCCTATATATAATAGAATGAATTATCTTTATTCTGCGAACCTTGTTATTGTCCTGTTTAAAGTCTTATAGTTGTTGTCTATACTTCAGATGTTCAGTTTTTTTACTAGACGATAACTTGTAGTTCTCTATGTTGAATTATATATATATATATATATATATTCTATTATATACTTGAAGATGTCCAAACATTTTTGAGGACATTGTAAAGGGATGAAATTCTTCGGTGTCCATTCCAAAAGGGCATACATTAATAAAGATGACTATCATAAAGGCACATATTAATAAAGGTGAAGATTGAAAGGGAAAATAACATTTTTTATGGTGTGAAATATCTTCGATTTGCCCTCTATAACTTTGTCCTACGACTACTCAAGACGTTTGTTTTCTAAACGTCGAGTGAGAAGTCTGTTTACAGCAAATGCTGTAATTCTTCGAACTAGGCAACAAATTGTTATTTTTATCACCACAGTCATGTCATCTCGTATGTTTATTTAGTAATTTTAGTGGACATTCTGTATAGAGGGATGTTTCAAAAATGCTTGCGAAATGTTTAGTGAATTTCACTTTTAATTAGCTTTAAATGCTAAAACCATGCTTTCTTTTAAAATTAAAAAGTCATATTCGGCAATCCTTATTATATGTATATTTTCAAAAGCATTGTCGGTTTCGCTCTCCAGAGAGACTTAATGAACTTTTATTCAGTTGACCGTTGACATTCGTCACAGTAAGACTTAAATGATTAGGTTTTATTTGATGTTAAACATATGAACAGGTGAGACGTACAAGGTGGACCTCATTTAATTAATATTATTAACATAGGACTATATATATATATATACCATAAAATAGGAAATAACATTTATACAAGGTCAAGTCAAATATGGCTGTGAACGTGGTAGACCGTAATTAATAAACTGAGTATAATTGAAGAACAATAAATCGTATAATAACAGTCTATAGGTTAAAATAAAGCTTGTAATAAGATGAATATAGATATACACAATCTAATTACTCAATAGTTATACAATAAGAACGCATATATATAATTAGTCCATTAAAAGGTTTCAGAAGTTACTTGTAGTTTAATCTTCCCTAGGACATAACACATGTCATGACTGCAATAACGGATTTTCTACACAATCAATCGTTTTTTCCACTCGCTTTCTTGATAGTCACTGTTCCGCTCGCTTCCTTGTTGGTATGATCCAACTTCTGTGGCTGTTCATAAAGTCATCATAATTATTATGATACATAACAAATAAAAATATATTTTTCATTAATTTTATTTCAAAGAATTTAATACTGACACAATATTTCTTTCTTCTCTTATTACGTCTTTGTAGTTTACAATAATGTTAAGCAGTAGAGTTTAGAAATACAAGTTTCTTCCAATATTGTGGAACTATTTTTTATATGTATAAATTTACGTCTCACTTAAGTACGATTGATAAGATTTGTCACAACCAATCGTTGGTTTGTACATTTTAATTCACAATTTAGTGAATAGATCACTGATCTTACATCTACCTAATTTCTAAGGTTTGTGATTTGATAAAACCTGATTTAAAATGTATCTCATTTAATATAATTAGAATATTTATATTTGGAACCAATAAAATATCCATAGCTACCTATCTTGGTACAGCAAGCTCACTGCTGGAGGTAGGAAATTTAACAAGAAAGTTGTAATAAAATATTCCAAGGTGACAAACAGCGTAATCAATTTTACAGAAATGAAAAACTTCAAAGTTCTATTCGCTCCTCTCAAAACTTGGATTGCCACGTTCTATCTAGTCTTCAGACTGATTCCAGTAATTTTGTTTCTTTTAACTTTCTCTACCACTTATCAACAAAAAAACACTTTTGTTTTCTACTGTTAAACGAAAGAAAACTAAGTTGTTATATGGTACCACCAATTGGACTAACTGAATAATTATTTTATATTAATGCAAAAACTACCGTGAACGTATATGATTAGGTTTATGACACTTTAAAAATCATTTTTCGGGTGCTTTTAATACATTTTTAAAACATACCACAACTAATTTCATAATGATGTAATAAAAAAAGAGACAAATAGCATAATCCGTTATTTTTACCTTAATTCATATATTATTTTATAGTTAAGATCATGAGTCAATTGAGGCTAGACCACCATCGAAAACCTGGAAGCACTGGACGGCCGTTTCGTCCTATTATGGGACTCCTCAGCAGTGCGCATCCACGAACCCGCTCTCGCGAGATTCGAACCCAGGACCTACCAGTCTGGGTTCGAATCTCGCTCGCGAGAGCGGGTTCGTGGATGCGCACTGCTGAGGAGTCCCATAATAGGACGAAACGGCCGTCCAGTGCTTCCAGGTTTTCGATGGTGGTCTAGCCTCAATTGACTCATGATCTTAACTATAAAATTACTAAATCTCCACAAAAACCCCCCTTGTCATATATTATTCACTGACAAGTTGAATCAACCTAACTTAGTTTCCAGGTCCTAATTTTTTATTCATTCGACATCCTTTTTTGTTTGTAAAATAGAATTCACTCATCACTTTATGAGCAATGTTACAAAGAATGTGAAGATGATAAGTATTATTCAGTGAAAGCAGTTAGTTTTCAGAGTGCAAAATAAATTAACATTATTTCGTTTTAGAAACGTGTACGTCATTAAAATCCTGGATCCAAAATGATATCACATTAACCAAATAATTACAGTTTACTATGCCAAACCAAATAGTTTATTTTAACTAAATTCTGCGATATTCAATGTCCATAAATATGTCTTAAGCGCTTTTACAACTCTTTCAACACAAGATTTTGTTACCATAGGAAACACCAAAAATTAAACATAATACGAAAACTGTTTGTTGTATAACTAACTGTGTAGAATTCTGAAGTGCCGCTCTTCTTTGATAGTTAATAAAAGTATATATATTTTAAGTTTGCCTAATTAGTCTAATTTTGTGAGAGATAAAACTAGATCAGATAATTTTGAATACAGTAATCATTCTACTCATAAATTCATTCCCATAATTTATCTACATATTAATTTTGATATGTATCTTTATCTATACAACATAAATGAATACAAGATTATGTGAGTATAGAAACACTTCGTTCGCTGTACTTTGGAGAAAGCAAACTTCATTCAGAAGAGTAGTAATTGCAGTATTAAAACAAAAACTAAATTTTGGAATTAACAATTTTTACTTAAAACCGAAATAAACAATATTTAAGGAATCTAGACCTTAAAAATGACTGTCTAGTAGCATATATTTGTGTTAAATGCATACAACATAAGTGTATACCATATTACTTACTTACTCCTCATGTTACCCCTCGTGGAAGAGTATAGGCTGCCCACCAGCATTCTCCATCCAACTCTGTCCTGGACAATCCTTTTAAGTTGTTTTCAGTTGCCATTCATCCTTTTGATGTCTATCTCCAATTCTAGACGAAATGTGTTCCTTGGTCCCTATCTTTTCCGTTTCCCTTCAGCGTTCCAAGTAAGCGCTCGCTTCGTGATGCAGTTTGATGATTTCCTCAATGTTTGTCCTATCCAATTCCAACGCCTTTTCCTAATTTCCCCTTCAGCTGGAAGCGGGTTCGTTCTCTTCCACAAAAGACTCTTACTGATGGTATCCGACCAAACAGATATGAAGTATCTTGCGTAAATACTTGTACTTTTTGATGATGGTTGTGATCGTTCTCGAAAATTCAGCTCCGTACAGTGGGACTGTATTGACATTCGTATTGAAGATTCCGACTTTGATATTGACTGACAGTTGTTTCCATATGTTCTTCAATTGTGGAAATGCTACCCTTTCTCCGCCAATCTTCACATCTACCTCTGAATCAGATCCTCCTTGTTCATCGATGATGCTGTCCAGGTACATGAAAGATTCCACCTCTTCCAGAGTTTCTCCATCAAGCATGATTGGGTTGATATTCTCCATGTTGCTGCCCTTCCCATGCCCAGGTAAGACAAGAAGGTTAGGCATGGTGTCGGCAACTCCATCCCGTAGAAATCAACCTTGTTGTAAAAACACTTACCAGAATACTATATAACTGGTCCCCTTAATAAACTGTCGTAAAACAGGAAAAACAAATAATGTGGGAATGAATTTAGTTCATATCACTTAGTGGACTGTATATCTTTCATTTAATTACTGACTTCAGTAAACAATTCAATTGTGTTACATTTTGTGTGCAGCGTGCAGAAGTCATTTATTTTGCTGGTGAAAACTGATGATGGTTACATCATATATTCATCCAATTTCACTGTGTAAATGGACGTGATAAACGAAGTAGAGAAGCCACAAGGCAATTAATTACAACCAATAAACATATTGTCATGATTATTTTAGGTGTAGATGATAGCATATATTTATGTATTACAACGCGATAGAAACTAATAATCCTCTACCAAAAAAAGACAAAGATAACAAGCAAATGAGGATTTATAGTTGTTAAGATGAGATCAGGTTTCTAGTTGTTTTTTTTAATTTTTACTTGTTTGCTCTTTCTATAAAAGATAATCTCATTATTGCTTTTTCAACTTATTTTTCCACAATGACCTTTACCGTTATCTTATTGGTTACTGTCGCTTTTAGTTTGCTTTGTGTGCTTCAGGGTCATTGTATTTCATTACATAAACAGAACTCTTCCAATATAAAACTATCCCTGAAGTCCAATCTTCTATATCTTACATTCACATGTGCACTATGACTTAATACTAGCTGTTCTCCAATGGTTAGCTGTTCGTAATTTAATGACTACCTTTTAGTTTATATTCGTTTTTTCTCCACAAAGTCAATTGATAATTTATTTACTATTTATTTGATAATATTCAAATTAATAAAAATTCCCTTCTTATACCTAACATGTTTCGCCTGAAGGTATGATCACGTTTTTCTTTCTTAACTAAATATCAGTTTAATGTATGCAATGAATACGACTACAACATTATTTGTCATCAGATAAAATGATATATAGCCGTATATTTTATTTCTCACTAAATACTTATTAAGTCAGCTATATTCTAATTCAACATAACTAGTATAATTTCACCTTATTGATATAAATATTTCATTACTTTCTTTTGTTTTATTTTTCTCATTTAAGGATAAAAATGGACTAAATGTGAATATAGCTGTAACTCATTCAGGGATATGTGTTTATCAAGGCGGTGTTCGAACTAATCTATTTTCATGGGCAAGAATAAGAAAATTAAGTTTTAAACGTAAAAACTTTTTTATCAAAATACATCCTGAAGGTTATGTAAGTTATAATGTCTTGATATTTTTCATTTAATGTTTTTTCATTTTTTTTAATTGAACTAATTTTGTATAAATTCTTATTAGTGTATATGTTCCCTAACCACTCTTTCGTTATTCATTGAACTTTCGATTTTGTTGAGTGAATAACTGCATATCGTTTGAATTATTCTTTTTTTGGTTAGCGTTTTTTTAGCTAGTTAGTTTTCTACGGGATGGGATCGCTAACTACATGCTCGACCCTCCTCCTTTATATGAGCTTCGGACTGGCAGTAGCCCCCAGAGGAGCTACAGGTGGAATTAAAAGCAATGGTAGCTTTAGGAATAGTTAATTTATTTGATCATTGATATTCTTATGCATTTAAATGAGTGATTAAATGAGTATTAAAGTTAAATTAAATGAACAGATTTTCAATAAAATATTAGAAGTCATGTTATTCTTATTCAAAAGGTAATACTTTATGAGATATTTACAGTCTAAATAATAACCAAACCTCGTAAGAAAATTCTAGTTAACTAAATAAACCAAAAAAAGACTTTGTTTGCTTCATAGAATCAATTTTTTCGGTTACATCAAAAATTACTTATTTAATCGTATAAAAATCATAAAACAAGTCTATCCTATTTATATATGGGACTGATTAGTGAATATCCTAATCATTAATTAGATTAATTTATTTACTATAAAGAAAGATGGTTTGGTAATTTGATTATTAAATAATTACTCAGTTTAACAGCTAAACTGTCTAACTGAATTAATAAAATCTCTTCTATACATTTACTTATAAAAAACGTTTTCGAAAATTTATCATAATACTGAAAAAATAAAGATTTCTCAGTTTTAAAAAATATCGAATATCTTAATGCTGCCTGATTTAGAAAGTGTATATTACAGTCAACAACAAAGTGATAAACTTACAAAACAATAGGGCTTTTGTGCTTTTATCTTTTATTAAAATGAGTATTGATTCTCTTGATATACTTGCTGAGACATTGACCAGAGTGATGAAATCAAAAGTTCTGTCTTGATTCTGGATAAATTTATTGATCATATCAATCTTTCAAATAAGCTATATTTCTGGTGGCTTATCAAATGTAAAGATCAAAAGTGTCTCAAGGTTCTAATATTTTCGAAAAGTATATCTATTTGGTTCTATCGATTTTATCTGTACAATTTTCTTAGGTCTGACATATTATTCTTGACCTTCAGCGTTTCTGTCTTTAAATCTGTCTTTACTAGTGGGTAGCCGATAACAATTTTAGATATCTAGAGAGAGCACCTACGATATATTTTAAAATACACAATCTATTACTTAGATTTTATATCTCAACCTTTACTAGTATTACAAGTCTAACATTGAACGTTGAAATCTCTCTTAGTTCTTTGTTTATCAAAAATAGTCATTGAATGTGGTTGTATTGAAATCAGTAATTGACTGTACTAAAATCATTGAGAGAATCAATCCACATTCAAGTATGAAGTTTTGAACAAGAACAAAAGACTCCGTTGACTAAAATGGAAGAACTAGCCAATATATCTTGAATATGTGTTAAATGTACTGATTCACTGCTTATTTAAGCGTGTGATATTTGTCAGTAAGATGTACCTGTAATCTTACAGGAGCTGATATTGCCTTTAGGATTCGATTCAATATTACTCAGATTCACAGTCAGAGATGTTACCATTTAGCTATCTAGGTCGCCAGTTGGATAGAAACGTCAAATGCACGAGTTAATTTGTTGGGTATTCAACTGACTAGTAAATGTATATACAATCTTTTTATTCGCGGTTTTCAATAGGTAATGAAAGAATGGTTGAAATTTGTGATTGTCTATTTTGTTTACCTTCGTATATATTTTGAAAGCTCTACTGTTCAACATTTTATAGCAGCTCACTTACAATTGAGTTTGTTCACATCTAATTTGGTTAAGCGCTTTTGTTAACTTATTTAACGGATAAAGTCATTCGTACAATAACAACCTAGCTATATTACTGTACCTTTATTATGTACGCTATTTATTATGTTACGTTTATTTATGTTTCTATTTTCGTTCATTTTAATCTATTTCTCGTTGCCTAAACTTTCGTCTTTTATGTTGGTGTGTTCAACTACTAAATTCAAGCATGTACCAAAAAATATTTCTATTAATTAAAATCTTATTTTAGGTTTCATTCAGCGTTTTGGAGTCTACTTCGTCGCTTTTGTTAACTTATTTAACGGATAAAGTCATTCGTACAATAACAACCTAGCTATGTTACTGTACCTTTATTATGTACGCTATTTATTATGTTACGTTTATTTATGTTTCTATTTTTGTTCATTTTAATTTATTTCTCGTTGCCTAAACTTTCGTCTTTTATGTTGGTGTGTTCAACTACTAAATTCAAGCATGTACCAAAAAATATTTCTATTAATTAAAATCTTATTTTAGGTTTCGTTCAGCGTTTTGGAGTCTACTTCGTCGAACTTTTGTTCCATGTTTACTTTTTCTTAATGATGCACTGTAATTTATAATTTACTAAGATAGCAATGAAATATCTCACTATCTGTAAATTTTGTTAAACCAGTCCTATTTTTACTTACATCATTTTTTTCACATTGTCCAGATAAAATTCTTTAGATAAACAAAATGTGAACTTAAGACTACATCTTAAGAATGGCACACTATTGAATTGATTATATTTTCCAATAAATAAATGCAGTTTATACTTGAATAGTAATACTTTCAAATGTTTTTTATAAACATATAAAACAAACTGTATTGTCTATAAGTTCAAAAATATCTGTCTTATAAAACTGAAGAAGTTGAAAAGTCATTAAAATGTAAAAGAAATTACCATTTATGCATTTTCATTCTGATTGCAATGTAACTCATAACCGTTTATTATGTGAAATGGTTTTAACTGCCACATGTACTTACTCTATAGAAAATATTTAGTAAACTCTCCAACATAATACTATAAATACTGATGTTAGCGAAGATTTACAGCTCAGGGAAATGCTCTCGACGTTGTTTAATTTCCTAAGTTAGCTGGTTTAATTGTGGTTTGATTAAAGTATTAGAAAATGTCATCAATGTTTATTCCATGTAAAAGTGAGCTTAATTGTCTTATAGTTCCTAAATTAAAGAACTCAACAACGCCAAAATATGTGATAATTACTCAAATGGAATATTTATAATCTATCAGTTAGTGGGTGATTTCGTCACCTTAAAACCTAGAGTTTGTATTTCAACTTTAAAAACGTTTAAAATTATTTCTTTGCTGAACATAATTTTCAGATTATTAAGTTCTTGTAGTAAACTAAGATGAGTGGGACAGGTTTGGGATCAGATGTTGACATTCAGTACAGTTTTGACAATAAATGAGGTTCCATCAATTTTCTTAGTCCGTTTGATGAGTCTTAACGTTAATGACGACAGTTTGACAATGCAGAAAATCGATTTATAAAAATCATAAACGTATCATAATCAAAAGTAACCTCACCTTGTTTACTATTGACATGATGGTTGATAAATACATTTGTATTGATATATCGACTTATAAATTTAAAAACTCATTTTCATATGATTTCAGGATGCTATCGGATTTTCATTCGGTACGCGAAATGAATGTAAAAGCTTCTGGAAACAATGCATTGAGCACCATGCATTTTTTCGTTGTCAAGCTGTTAGAAATGTTGGGCGAAAAAATCGCGTCGTTTCAAAAGGCTCTTCATTTAGGTATGTTCTTGTTTGGTTAAGTGTTAACTTCACATTTGTATATGATCTTTAATTTGTTGTCATTCACTAGTCTGTTATTTTAGTGAACATAAATATATCCCTGATTATAATGAGGAAGATTTTCAGCTCATATATATATATATATATATATATATATATATATCGAACTTCATGTTTATTCAGTCCTTTATTGTGTTCCGATGTTACGTAATCCGAAGTGGATTGAGACTTCATTCTTGTTAGCACCCACTAATAAGACAGTAGCTTATCACTTTAACATTTTGCATTATATTTATTAACTATCACAAAGTTATGTATTAAACACTTATAAAATAATTGACACGAGATCTTGAGAAAAAAGAACTAAATATTGACTACATTTGTTCATTCTATTATAAAATAGGTATCATACGTATCATCACCAAGGTTCGACTTGACAATTTCGAATAAATTGAGCATTGGGTAGATTGTTAAAAATAAATAATATATTTGTAATATTCCAACGAGTAGAAATATTAGATTTTCTGACGTCCTTCAACAATCAAAAAGCTTTTTGATTGTTCACATAATATTCTTGTTGTTCCGTTGTGCTTTTTAAACTTGGATTTATTTTGATTTGGTTACTTATTCTCTGAAGAAGTGGCTTACATTGGGTCACGAAACTTCAGAAAATCTAATTTTTCTGCTCATTGGGATATGGCAAATATATCATCTATTTATAAGAAGACATAATTTTTTGGATATTTTTGTGCCTAAATTGTTGAATTTCTGTCATTTTACTATTTAAAAAATAAAAGATTTCATAGAAAATTCTATTGTTGTTTTACAGATATATCGGTAGAACGCAAAAACAATTAACAGATTTCATCCGGGAAAACTATATAAAAATGCCTAACTTTGAGCGGTTAGTTCACTTTTCATAGATTAAACATTCTCACGTATAATTAGTAGAAGTTGTTTTCATTTTAATTATTGTATATTTATGGATAGCTAAATCTAAAAATTAAAACAATTTGTTACCTTTTCGACGATTTTTTGGCTAATATATGTATATTTAAAACATCGAGTTTACATTCTAACCTGCATTACCTACTAAATTTTGAGTAAAGGGGTTATTTGGCCTGGAGGAACGGAAGAATTATGGCTTAAAGAGAAACGCACAAAGATATACTCATTTGATGTAACACAGTTTTAGATATTACCGAAAAATTGACTGTTAATCATGCCGATTTATGTGAAAATATTAAATAAGATCATAAGCCCACTAATAAATCATTGCTGTCAAACTCCTTGCAAAACCACTCAGAAATAAAACGTTTTAGCAGTATACGGTTGCGTAGATTGTTGAATTTTATTTAAGATCATAAACCGATCATATGCTCACTGGTGATTAGCTTCGCGAGGTAATTCTCGGAGTTTTGTCGAGAAGCAACGACCAGTGGAGTCCAACCATGTTGGTTGTGAGACAGTTACCCACCAAAGACAGTGAACGATGGTCGCTCAATATTGTGGATCGGTTGAAATTAAATAGTAACACCTCTGATAGGTGGCTGAGCGGACTAGATGTTAAACGATCGAGCGTGCGGGATCGTGGATGTGCACTGTTATGGAGTCCCATACTAGAATGAAATGGTCGTCTAATGCTTCCAGGTTTTTCAATGGTGGTCTAACATTGATTGATTCATGATTTAAGTTAAAGTGTTTCAAAGTTTGATTATCAAATATTCAATTTCTAGGTAAATACTATACATAAAATAGTTATTATGTGATTTCCATTAACTTATGTTTGCATTGGTTCAGATAAGTATATCGGCTGTGAGGCATAGAAATGCTTAGCTTTTTAACACAACCTGTGTATATCCGGCACATGAAACTTAGTTGCTCTAATATTACTACAAGGAGTTCATATCATCTTCAAATTAATGTGTTTAATTACAAAAATTGTTAAGTGTTTGACAGAATTAATTACGCGAAATGAGTGTTGATAAAAAGCAATCGGATATTCAAGTCTCAAATACAAAGATATGATATGTTATATTTATATAATGATCTGCTATATAACGAATTTATCTCTCACTTTTCTATACATATAATCGCACAGTGGAGATTGGTAGCTAAATAATGAGACGGCTAATAGTCGTACTGATAGTAATTTACAATAGTCCCGGAGTGAACATCAACTCTGAGACGCAGGTAAATCCCCAGCAGGACGAAACGCGAGTCGTGGATTCCACTGCTAGCCACCATCCATCTCTGCTAAATATTACAACAGTTTTATTTCAACAAATATATATATATATATATCTTACAATAGATCAGATAATGTAATATTATATTTAAATTCCCTGTTCTTTGACAATTTACATATTAATTAGTTTATTTGTATGCATAAGATAATTCCATTTATTTATGTATACATTATTAAAAAACAAAAACGAAAACAACCCAAATGTTTATTTAATTGATAAAACGGAAAACATTATCGAAATTATTTATCATTTACCTAGATAATAAATTAGTTTCATTTACATAAGGCATTATTTGCATGATCCTATACGTGACTAAACGAATAATCTTAATCCTGAAACTGGTTAAGATTATTTTTATACTGAAATACTGCAATACTGGAATAATGCTTTTCTTCACTTCCCTGTTTGCTTCTGCGTAGTCTGCTTGTGCTTTGACTTTCTCTGCTCGTGTCCGACTGTTGTTAATTGCTAGTCTCTTGTTCTTCCTTTCTTGAATTTTGTCCAGGGTTCCCATAGAGATCCATTCCTTGTGATGATGCTTCTTAGGACCAAGGACCTGCTGACACGTTGAAGTTAGTGCTTCTTTTATCCCTTTCCAGTTGTTCTCCAAAGTAGTTTCTTGTTCATTCAGTAGGTCCTGTAGAGCTTGGAACCTGTTGTTGAGAGTTATCTTGAATTCATGGAGCTTGTCAGTATCTCGACGGAAGGCTGTATTGAACCTTTGTAGTGCTGTTTGTTCAGTTGTCCAGTGTTTCTTTAGCTTCACTCTCATCTTGGTCACAACCAGGTGGTGATCTGAAGCTATGTCAGCTCCTCTCTGGGTTCTCACATCTTCCATTGATCTTCGGAATTTTTTGTTGATACAGATGTGATCTATCTGGTTCTCTGTGGTTTGGTTCGGTGAGATCCATGTAGCTTTGTGTATGCGCTTGTGTGGGAATATTGTGCCGCCTATAACCAATTTGTTGAATGCACATAGGTTTGCAAGTCTCTCCCCATTTTCATTTCTCTCTCCTAGTCCAAGTCGTCCAAATACATCTTCATATCCTGTGTTGTCCACTCCAACTTTAGCATTTAGATCTCCCATCAGGATGGTGAGGTCCTTTCGTTAGCACTTTGCTATAATTGATTGCAGCCTTTCATAGAACTGATCTTTATCATCGTCGTTGCTATCATTGGTGGGTGCATAACATTGGATAACGTTCATTGTGATCCCTTGCTTCTTTGTTCTGAATGATGCTTTGATTTTCCTGGTTTCATGAGATTCCCATCCCACAAGTGCATTTCGTGCTTCTTTGGACAAAATTAGAGTAACTCCATGAGTGTGTGGAGCATTTTCCCCTTCGTGACCGGAGTACAGCAGCATCTCTCCTGTACCTAGCCTTTGTTGTCCAGTTTGTGTCCAATGAGTTTCGCCGATTCTGAGTACTGCCAATTTGTACCTCCTCATTTCCATTGCTATTTGGCTGGTCTTTCCTGTCTCCCACATTGTCCGGACGTTCCATGTACCTATAAAGAGTGTTGTTCTGGTTGTTAGAAGGTTCATCGGTCTCGTGACTTCCGAAGAATTTCGGCTTTCATCATAAGACGTCATAATTATTCCTTCAACTCCCAGGACAGAGTTTAAATGGTTTGAATTATTTTTTCTGGTTAGCGTTTTTTTAGCGAGATAGCTTTTCTACGGGATGGGGTCTCTAACCCCATACCCAACCCTTCTCCTTTACCCGGGCTTGGGACTGGCAGTAACTTTAGAAGAGCTACAGGCGGAGTTTTGGAAGTTTTAACTGACAACAAAATGTTGATTTTATAGTCAGAATGTTGATGTTTAAAATTAGAATTACACACGAAATGTATGAGAGATAATTGTCCATTTGATGAACATGAAGATGATTAAGAGGAAATGATAGAACTCTGAAGTAGTAATAACAAGTGAAAAACTTGAAATAATTTTAAGATTTTAGTACAATCAGAGATTCAATATCAAACATCTGTAAAAATGTTGTGTTTGCAGCGTATATAGTTTTTATTCTTACCGCTTTTGAACACATTCGTTTGACCGTAATTATGATTTCAAAGGAATTTTAATAAAGTGAGACAATTAAGCTGCATTTTATAGACTTGAATGAGGTCTCTTGGTTTCCAAATTAGGCTTTCAAACGCAGTCTTCACGTTCAGTTTATTAAATCCTGTTGAAGTGTCACAGAGTTTTGCGCTTAGAAAGGATGCTTGTAGTTGAAAGAAAAATATTTGGATGCCGCAGTAGGTAAACAGATTTCTCAGGTTTTTTTAAGAAGGGATATGTGCACTACTGTCAGTTGTGAATGAGCCATAACTAAAAAAATTCTTCATTACGGAGCGATTCCATTCATTACTGAATTCATCTCACTCACCGTTGGCTAATTTGTACCATGCATGTGTTCTTATTAAGAGGTCCTATCCAGTCTCTCGTAATATTGACTTAAAATTACCTGTATAGTCCAATGGATACCAGTGGTAGACAAATGGGAAATTCGTATAATAATTTATCTTAATATTGTCGTTTTGTGAACAAAAGTATCGTAAAATAACTTGTGCACAATAATAAATAATGATGATTTTATAATTAGTTACCAAAGAATCACTATAATCGCTAAACAGTCTAATTATTAGCTAATCGTTTTTCCCTTAGCTGGAAAATATTTCAAATAACAATGTTTTGAAGTAAAACGCTAAATAATGATTTTTAAAAATTTTTATCACTGTAAATGTTAAACATTAATTTATAGGGTTGATACCAGGGGATAGTTTATTACTGCCTAATCTTTTAAATGAATTAAGTGAGATCTTAAGTACTTACTGAGCTGATGTTATGCTCTGATAAGGATAATGAATGGTAACTTTGCGATCTATTTATGAACCAATAATATGCATATATTTTTATCGTATAATCGCTAAATAAATAAACTATTCATATTCGTATCCCCCTTATTATAAGCTTTATTTTGAACCATAAACTATTGTTATAAGATCTACCATTCTTGAGTCATCCCTAGTCTATTAATTACTGCCTCCCACATTCACAGCTACATTTGGCTGAATCTTGTACAAATGTGATTTTTTTATTTAATTGGTACGATTCGGTCAGTTTGATTGGTATATAAACTCAGTATGTTTGAAATACAATGATTCATACCTCAGAGGCTGTTCTGGACTTAACTGGTTGGGCTAGACAGATAGCAGAACCGATCAGTACTGTAAACTGCTCGTACAGTTTCCGTGTGTCACAGTTCCAATCGATAGTTCGCTGCTCTCTGATTGGCGGTCGTATCACGTCATACGTTAACAAGGGCATCCACTCGGCCACAAGTTATAACAGCTGAGCAGTAAAATTTTTATAATAATTCCAATTATAATTTGACCTATATATATTTAATTGTTAATAGCAATTATTTTTTACCTTCTCTAAAATATAAAAATTTCCATTACGAAACAATAAAACAGAATTTTAATTATTTTTTTTAAAAATTATAATTAATCTTAAAGTTATCCCGATGATAATTTGTTTATCTTGTTCACACAATCAATACTAAACAACAAACTCTCATATTAAAATATATAATCATTTTTTACATAAGAATATCTGATGGTAATCAACGAGAAATTTGTATTTAAGCGA